TAGGAGATGAAAAAATAACAGAAATACCACAAAAAATGGACATTTAGAAAAAAAAAAACCCTACCAGGTAAAAACCCCAAAATGTTTACAATTAATAGTAATTTTCATCTTCACTCATTCAAAAATATTTACTGAGTGTTAATCATGTGCTACACAGACAAAACAGTTCACATCCTCAGGTACGCTATACTCTGGTTAAAGACACACAAAAAACAATTACTCAAATAATTTCCATTTTAATGAATTCTGCAAAAGTATGGCTTATTACAGTAGCATATATAAAGCAGGAAATTAAGTCCTTTTGATGATTTTAATATTTTCCAAAAATTATACACATAACTTTTGTAAGTAATATATAAAAGAAAGTTGTTAGCCATCTGATTATAAGCTCTGGAGAGTCTCCTTTCTTTCATTCCAAAATAATCTCCTTGATCTAAAGATTGGTTTTTCAAAGTATGAAAAACATACACTATTAGAACTGCTTTTGAGTGAAAATATTTTATCCACACATACTAAAACCATCTTTCCCTGTTGCTGCTTCTCCCCAGCAGCTGTCTGGAGAAATTTCAGAACTTCCATGAGTCCCTGCCTTGGCAGCTCAGAATGACACACAACTATACTACACAACTGCCCAGCTGAAGGAGCATTAGACTCTAAGCTGGCATATTTTTGGTTTGAGGAGGCTAGCCACCAGAGCTCCCAGTCTCTACTACCTATTTTATGACTGAGAAAAGCATGAATCCAATTTGCCCATCATTCGCTCAAGAGCAATGTTTTTTATTTTAAATTTCCAGAATTTCTGTGACTACCATACACCTTCTTGAAATAATGGCCTACAGTACCAGATTTTATCAATATGAAGAATATAATAATAGCATTTCTTATGTATAATCACTGAATCACATGGTGCATTAAAATTAAAGGACATTTACAATTAACTTCCCAGTCTGTCAATCTGATTCTTTTCATACACCAAACGAGCTGTTTTGACAAAACAGTGACTGAGCACGCAGAAAAATAAACTTTAGTGTCCCTAATATATACAAGAAAGTTGAGATTTAAAAAAAAAAGGCAAAAAAAGGGACATTCTCAAGATCTCCAAGGGCATTATATTAACAAAGTGGTTCGGCATGAAGGGAGACAAGGGAACATTCATCTCCCCCATCCACTGACACATCAGACGTGCATCTTTAAGATCAGCTGGAGCTTAAAATATGTGAGCAGAAGAGGAAATGGAGAATACTAGCTATAAAACAAAGTTCCAAACAGATATTCAACATCGTGCTCCAACAATGACCCTGAACAGATAGGTATTAAAAGTTTAAGTCACTGTATTTGCTTCCGAACAGCAGCAGTTTAACTCTGTACCAAAAGCAACTCACACATATCTGAGAGTTAGAGAAAGTAAAGGAGATATATTCATTTTTATCCTCTCAATGGGAGAAGATCAAGACCCATGTTTATAAAATTAGGTAGCAAGTGTCCAAGAAACAAATTTTAAATGGAAAGTGAATGTTAATTTCTTCTATATATTTGAAGAGCATATGCTGTAAACATATATACACAAGTACAAGTTTCCTGCAGAAATTCCATCCTCCCTCAGTCTGAAGACCAAAGATGTACATAAATATATTTTGTCTTGTATCATTTTGCATGTGTTTAAGAAGGTAGCAACCAAGTCAGGGAAACAAAGAACGCCTGTATTGAATGCCTGCATCGTACACTTTTGGACTGATTTATACACCATTTCATACTCTTTCCTGAGGTTTACTGTAATAGGTCAAAGGGACGGACTCTGAAACTAGGCTGTCTTACTAGCGAGCTATGCAGCAAATTACTCAACTGGTCTCTGTCTCGGTTTCCTCATGGATAAAATAAGGACAGATGACAACAGTACCTACTCCCTAAGGTTGCGGTGAGGACCAGATGAGTTACTACTGCAAAGCCATTAGAACAGCGCCAGTCACAGAGGGAGCGAGCTAACTGTGAACAGCACACACCGCAGAATGTAGCTGCTGCTGTTATCCTCGTTGTCCCTCTGTTTCTCCTGATACAAAACAAATTCCTTACGGGCAAGAATTGAGAGAACCTACGTTCATTTTGCGTTTCCCACAGCAAGGGAAAAATGAACTCCAAGAAGAGCTACTGAGTGCCAACTCTAGGTATCAATGTATTAGGTACGGGAAACAGAACATGAGTAAGACGACATGTAATGTAGTCACGGTCAGAGAAAGACCCTGTAATCATGAAACAAACACGATGCAGTACTTAAGTCAGACGAGAGTGAACTAAGCCTTTCAGACGCACAGAAGAGAGAACGAACTGCTGAGAATGGGACTGTAAAGCCCCTGAAAGATGAACAGTTTATTCACCAAAAAAGGGAAGATATTACAGGTAAGGGAAAGAGTACACATACACAGACACACAGCTGAAAAAGCTCATGGTACATTCTAGTAAAAGAGCATGGTCTAGGGTGACTGAAGCACTTGCAAAGTGGGGGGAATACAGGTTGTACCTACATGATAATGTCATTATAATACAATGTTAAGGAATATGAACTTTTTCCCATGAGCAACGGAAACTTACTGATGGTTATGAACACTGTAAAGATGTAACCAACTCTTTTTTTTTTTCAGGAAAAAATATTTGGAAAGATAAATGGAAGAGCATTATGGAGAAGTGACAGGAAGGGAGACGACTATAAGCAGAGGTACCAGTTTGAAGGTAACCGTAGTCCACAGGAGCGATAATAAGGATCTGAACCAGGATTATCAAGAAAACATGGATTTGAGAGAGATTTCAGGGCAGAAAGGCAGAGCCCTGGGACTGGCTTCTGGCCAGGAAAGAGAAGAGTCTGGGTTCTCGTTTAATGATGATGCTTGGCACCAGATAGAGCAGTTAGTGTGTTCTCCATAAACATGTGTTGAATGGAATTTAATTTTTATAACCTGATGAAGAAGTTCATTAAGATTGGTGACCAAGGAGTGAATTATTAAGCATTAAGCAATATGTCCAAGATAACCACTGCCTTAAAATAAAAGTGGAAGAGAAAGAGTAAGTGAAAGATTGCATACTGGTTGATAACAAAACCACAGAATTATTTTTAAGGGGAAGAATGAAATCATGATATCAGAATTTTCCCAAAGCATATTCCACAGAACCTTAGTCTCCAAATATATACTATGATAAAACAGTTCCATAGTCAAAATACATTTGGAAAAATTTGCACACAATATCCACCCATAAATCCTTACTATAAATACTACCATAAAATATACCCTGAAAAGTTCCATGATAAAAACAGTTAATTTTAATGAAGACAGAATTTTCCAATCTTGTGACCATGGGACATTATCAAATTTTCTCCAGACCCAGCATTCCCGAGGGCATGCTGGAGAACGATACTTTGCAAAAAGTTCTCCAAGTAGAAACACAGAGCTCCCGTGGAATCACAGGGACATCATTACAAGCTATAGAAATGCAAGCATACAAACCTTCAGGTGAAGTTTTTGAAGAATTCGGGTGAGCAGTCGTGGAAATCTTCCTATATCTATTTCATTTATCAGCGACACTGCTTTTTTCATGCTAAATAAATTCACAAAGGAAAGTTTTAAAATGAGGTTTCCAAGGGCAACTGTGAATACAGTTGTCTGTAAGTTTTCAACAACTCTAATTGCTGTAAGTCAAGTTTGAGCGAAATAAAGAAAAACAGATGACGGCCAGCAAAGAAAGCAGGACATTTCCAGAAGATGCCTCCGGAAAGTACTTCTGTTGAAAAGATCTATTTGGCAAATTTTCTCTTTCTTCTGGGCAAAGCGAACTAGTAGGGGAAGCTTGCACTCTGTGAGGAATGGTATTATTTTAGGAGTGGGTGTTTAAGTGTCCACTTAACTCAAAATGGAACTCTGAAAACGGGGTGGGGGGAGGAGTGACAATTACACCAAAAATAGAAAAGTTTGCTGCATGGCAGATAATTGAATAAAAAATACTACACACAGTATCAGTGCGGTCACTAAGCACAATGTTGTTTTAAAATGCTGCTTCAGTAGTAATAATCAACTGTAAATTATGTGGTAAGAACAATTCTACTGTACCATACTGGGCAGGGTTTACTGATGCAGTGTGTGTTACCCAGGACATGGGTGTGAGGAAAGGAACTGGCTGGCACAACTCAAGGAATCAAGGAAGGAAAAACTTTAAAATGACAACTCTCTTCTTCAAAATGATTCCTGTCCAATCCAGGCGCAAAAAAGTTACTTTCCAACCTCAATTATTTGCCCACACACTTCCGCACTTTTTCTGCATCCACACACCAACTGCACTACTACTTATTTTTCATTAAATAGAGTCATTGTTACTTGAATAATTTTAAGAGAATTTTATATCACCATCATGGACAGCCGACTTTACCTACCGTGAGCAGTAATGAACTAAATAAATAAATGAACAAAAAACAAGTAAAATGAAAACAAAAGCAATGTGGCCAGATTCTGGCTGGGTACTGTAACCAGCAGACACTCCTGGCCTGAGGCCTATTCTACCTTGATTGAAAAGGGGCAGTAACACGTGTTAGGTATTAAAGACCAACCCGCACCAATGAGAGTCTTTCTTATCATCAGAAAGACTGAAAGAGAACCGAACACGTAACGGACTATCTTTCCACGTGATTTCAGTGCTACTTTCCTCCCCCAGGTGGCTTGGGTACTTCTGAGCCCACCCTCTGGGAACGTGACACCGACCACACACCGTCGCGCCGACCTCAGCCGCCACAGGCACACTGTGAGCCCGCGGGCGTGAACCACGGTGCGGCGGAGGCGCCCGCAGCGCAGGCCCG